TTTCTTTTTCGTATTGATTTTGTTTGATATTAAGTTAGTCGAAGCCGACAACTACTGCAATTCCAAAAGCTCTCATTAATTACTTCAAGATAGCTCTTCAATTCCAAATACTTGCACTGTATTTTTCGTAGTATTTTTATTTCTTGGTTTGGTTGTAAAACTAAATTATACGTATGTGTTTTGTGAGGATTCCATTAAATTGCATGTGTAATTAGTGATTGTTTGAATTCCACTGAAGGATGTAGTATTTCCTTCTCATGTATGTCCATCGCCCTATATTTTTCTGTGTTCAAAATACTCCTTTCTCATCTATAACTTTTGTCTATGTAGAAAACATTAGGTGATTTCTCATCTGCCTAAGCCTTGGGGGGGGGGGGGGGGCGAACATTTGAAAAATCCAACTAGTACAAAAAACATATGTTANTACCTGGTATGTGTACTGGTGGGAGGTATCATGTATCCGGTGAAATAGTTGAGTTGTGCGCAAATTGGCCCAGTCACCACGTCATTAAAAAAGGTTCCTTTGTTGCCTCTTCATTTCAAGTTCAGAAGAGAAACTATTTGCTGTAGTTGAATTGCAACAACAACAATAACAAAAGAAACCTAGTATAGTCCCACAAGTGAAGGTAGTGTGCGCAGACCTACCTTGCAGTTCAACTGCAATGCTTGTTAATTCGTAAAACATATCCAGATGAAATACAGACTACGTTATACTTTAGATGGAAAGAGGAAATTCTGAAAACATATGATTCATGTTTTTCCTTCGGATTAGATCTGTGATTTGGTACTTCGGAGTATCAATTTTTCTGTACTTTTGAGTTCTATACTTGCAGATAATGGGAAATGCATTTTTATTGCTGAAAAGCTACTTCAGCCTGCTACTATTTGCACTTAAAGCTCTACACTTACAGGTTTATATTATGCACTTAAAGTCCTACACTTACAGGTTTATATTAACTCCAGAATGCAAGAGAGACTTGCTGCATTATTAGCTGTTCCAAATTGTGTTTAAATTGCTAAAGTCCAACGTTAATCTGACTTGGTGCTTAAAGATGAATTGCGGTGAGAATAAGGAGTCCAATGTTGATTTTCACATACAAGATGAGGCAGAAAGGCTGCTTAATGAGATTGAACTGATGATAAAGAGTGTTGAGGACTCTGAATTGTATGCTGGAATGCGTTTCGAGCTCGAACGGAATGAAACAATTCAAAATCATTTGTTTCGCCTTTTAGGCTCCCATTCACATGTGCAGGTGGTAATCTATGCTTTGGGAAGCATGGAATACAGTTTTCATTCACAGTTTCAGCTTGCCGTAGTTCTCCTACTAAAACGAGATTTTTCCAATTGGATTGGCAATATAGAAGTGTACGATCCTGGCTTTTCTTCAGCTGATATCATAGTTTTGAAGGAACTGGGTTTTGAGATTTTGAACATTGATGAAAATTGTAAGAGGCAAGTTCAGAGACCAACAATGTTCTACATGCCTGTTCCTAGTTATTGTCTTATAGGCAACCTGCTGGGAGCGAACTGGTCTTCGTCTTGTATTAACCAGATTTTTCTGCTGACAAACTCATTTCGTGATGCGTTGACCACTATTTCACCATGTAGTTTGAATAGAGAAACAGTGCAACGCCTGGAGAGAATTATCCCCTTCACAACAGAGGTTGACATAAAAACTAGCTATGCAGAGATCTATACTAACGTGTTCTCAAAATTTGCCTGGCATTTCTTTGATGTGAATCCCATCATTGACATGGAAACTTCACTGCCTGGTACTGGATTTCTCTCTATCTTGATTCAAGTTGGAGAATTTATTGGTCAGACTCACGACATGTACACTGAACAGATTTATCTTTTTTGATTCAGTGGCTGAAATTATAGTATATAAAAGAAATGACAAAGAAGATTGTTCTTGGTTGGATATGCAAAGGTACATAAATGTGAGACTAGATACTGAACTTTCCCTTTATTGTCGAATACAGTTCCCTTATGTAGTTCTGTTGATTCTGGGAAACATTGGTGCTGCCAGTTAGCATATCGTTGAAGTCATCATCCCTTTACTTTCTCTTTGTACGATTGTTTCCTTTCGTTCTCTCGTGATTAGATGTCTACACATGCAAATTATTTTAGTGCTAGCTGGTGAACATAGATTCTTTTTGTTGGAATATGCAAGGTACTTCGAAATTATTTTCTTACACGAAACTGTAGAGTGATAAAGGTGAGCTGAAGGAACCACAGGAGGGTAAAGTATATTTCATTCTTATGATTTCACTTGTAATTTTCGTCTTGCAGGTCTCTTGAAGAAAATATTTTGGAAGATATGCAAATCGATATAAGCAGAGAGGGATGAGCGCAATTTTTTGGTGAATATCGCGGGCCTCGTCGTTTAAGATGCAACTCCGTTCCTCCCCCTCCAGGTTGGATTAAGCTAAACATCTATGGGATTGGTAAAGCTGGTGATCAGCAAGGACGATATAGTGGCGTCTTCCAAGATGAAACTGGAATGCTTTTAGGCAGCTACAGTGGTACCATTCATGTTGAAGACAATGCGATTGCTGGACTGGAGGCCTTGAGGGAGGGGTTAGTCAAATGCGTGGAAGGAAATCCGAATGAACAGAAGTTGATTGTGGAGTCGGTTAATGTTATACTTGTCCAATATGTTAATGGTCACCCTGAGCCAAATGAAATGACCATGTGCAGGTTGAAAGAAATTTTTGACTTGCTGGAGCGTATAACTTGTGCAGTTTACCATGTCTATGAAGAAGCCAATGAAGCTGCTAGAGACTTGGCTCTGAGAGATGAACGTCACAATTGTGCATAGATAGCTTTGTTTTTGGCTCAAGGATAGGGTGAGGCTTTCTAGGTTCAACTATCCAGGTTTCAAATGCAATTTGCATACTATGGAAAGTGATGTTGCAGCAGACATGGATCCTGACAGTACGCAGTACACATCAAACTGACTTCTCATTACTATTTTTTTTTGTCAAATGATGATGAATGCAACATTTGAAAAGCAAAAAAGAAAAAAGAGACAAACAAATGCATTCCCGAGGACTATATGTTAACTAATTTGTGCAAACTGAAGCAATTTTTGTGATCTATGTTAATGTTCATTGAATGTATTTAGTCATCCCTGTCTATTTAATTTGATAATATTTACTATTTGGACTAAAGTTTTCAGCCCAAGAATGAAAAATATGTACCTTGTTTTAATGAGGCAAGAGCAAGATATGTGATATTGTTAAAATATCAAATAATCTATAGGAGCTAATTAAGGCCAATACTGTTCCTGCAACACCATGGGGAACATGCAGATGCTGTAAATAAAGTTGGGAGATTAAGGATAGAAACCAAACTTTTCAAAAGTTGATGATCAGTCAATTGCTCTTCCACTGTTATCAAAGAAGCTGTTGATCTGGTACACACCTGTAGTTAGTTCTACGTTCTTCTTGTTCGTAGTTGTCTTTCAATGTACAAACTCTTACAGTAAGTCAGGAATTAAGATATAAGAAGTGATATGCTTCCCTCAGGTTCCTAAAAGCAGTGCACTCCAGGCCTTTTACTTATGAAATATATCCACACTGCCCAAGTATTAGCTCTGTATAAAGGGTTGTGCTTCTAGACTGTGGATAAAGCTTACCGAATCAGAGAACGTGCACGTTCAATCTGTTGTTAGTAGATTTCCTTTGGATCATGCATGCTCGAACTAGCACTTATTTTATATGAATTTGTGGGTGTTCATACCATGCATTTTGTCCGAGTATGTGGCTTTTAGTGATTAGACAAATATACATGGTGGCGATATGTGAAATTCTGCCAGAGGCATCAAAGTCTTTTACAATGAAGCAGCTGATGATGAATGTAAGATATTCAAGCGAACTGTGTGACAATGGCAGGTACTCATTCAAGGAATTTGTTAAGAGTAAAATGTGGACTAGACACATTTAAGGTTTTACTCAAGCAGATTATTGCGTCAGATTATGCTTGTTATCTTTTACCTTTTTATCAACATTTTATGTCATGTATCTAATCATCTTGGATAAGGACTATTGTAATCAGCTGTTATGCATGAAATGAATTTGCTTATTAGCTGCACAGTTGCTGGAACTTGCAATATTTCTAGCTATCTTACAGTTGATTTTGCTGCCTGACAATAGTAAAGTTTACTGAGATTTGCTACCTGTGACCATAATCTAACACTGAGATTAAACTTCTTGATCATACTTAAACTTGCTGAAAATAAAGTTGAATCATTAATTCAGTTGATTCATTCTAATTTCTTCAATCTGGGGAAGCATGTGCTAAAAGTAACGAGTTGTGTATAGAATAGTGATTACATTGAAGCGTATGCATTTTTCATTGTACTCACAAACGAATTAATTTCTTACAAAAATACATAGGAATCTTAACATTATTGTTGAGAGAGAATCAGATATAATGAGTCAATCATCATTTTTACATCCAAAATGAATTAATTTACTGAATTTATAGTGCAAATTATTTATTGTGATTATAGTTTGACTCCAACAGAGATTGAACAAGAGCTTGCTGAATAACTCTATATATTATGTGAATGTAACAATTGTCGATTTCATTGCATGGTACTTTGGTACTATTTACTTTGAAAGTGATTCTAATAATATCAGGATTATGAACGCCATTTAGCACTAAGATGCCATAGAGTATAATACCATTTTCCTTGCACTTACTGTGACAAGGGCATGCAACCAAGTGGAGGAATTGATAGACTCATACTGCTTGTTCTAGTCCTGTCTTCAATTAATCAGTGGCATTTTTATCAGCCAAATGTGGTAAACATGGGATCGAATAGGAAAAGAGACAGTGGTCTGCTTAGTTTATCAAGAAGGAAGCGGTGCCCGCAAGAAATAGGTTAACTTAGCAGCTTTTCATCCAAAAGGCTAGGAAAAAATTGTACTCAATAGGAAAGTTATCTGACTATTTTCTTATTTGGTTTGACCATCAAAAACTAAAGGAAAATCAAAGAGACAGTTATTGCTTAAGTGGTCCGTTACCGACTTCGTAGTTCAAGAACCGTCTTACTAAGAATAGTAGATTTGCTTCGCCTGGGAAAATCCTGCTTTACTAAATATTAGAGATGTCACTGGTGGTATCTTCTCCTTTTTATCTTATTTGATTCAATAGGGATGGTGGTAGTATTTTGACTTCGGTGCTTCTCCTAGTTAGCCTCGAGTCTTACCATGCCAATGATGAAATTAGTCGGCTTCATATTACTAGTTTCTTAGGGATAGAGGAGCTTCAGAATGTTGTTGTGACCATCCTGTGGGATATTCATAGAGGATACAAGGATGGTTGTTTTTAGTTGATTGGATGTCCTACTCATCCATACAGTTGGACATTATTAGTATAAGATCTTGCTCCCTGTGACAAAATCTATGTACTGTTTCTGTCTAAACACTTTAGGCAATTTTAGCAGGACATCATCCAAAACTTTCAATTGACGTCTTGTTGGTTGCTATTTTTGGTTCAACTGTGAATTCCAGCTGCTTGGGTGTTGGTTCTTACAACCAGTTTATTCAGTTGAACATGTAGAATTTTTGTTATTTGCTGAAAACTTTTTTCTGGAATTTAATTTTGAATGTATGATCTCATACATTAATGTCTAAATTGTTATATCAGAGAAGCTCAATGTGATCCTTGTTTTCATCAAGTTATTGAGCTGTGCGTTAAAGATGAAAGAATCTGAGAATCGGTTTAAATGAGAAAACTGTTAACATTTTGGAAGCCTGATATATATTTCCTTAGATCATGTATGGCATCAATTTCTCCTTGAAATTTTCTTTTCACTTTTTTGTTTCTGCAGCATCCTTTTACCTATTGCCTTTTCCTGAACTTGTTTGAAAATGCTTCTAAAGAAAATATTCAATTGAAAATTGTGACTGCTATTGCAGTGTTCTAGAATTCTATATGAAGGAAACAATGCTATCGTATTGTCACGCTAACTTGCGTCCTTCAGTACTTCTCTTGGAATTTATCAAAGAAGAGTGACTTGCAGTATATTTGATTGACAGATAGTGGACAGATATGAAAGCCAAAGAAGTGAAATTGTTTCTGGTTGTCATGTATAGATAATCAAGCTTAGGAAATTATTCATGTCTGGATAAGCGAGAAACAAGAGAGGAAGTATAGATTACTTATTAAGAAAAAAATAAAGGAAGAAGATGATGTATTAGTCAATATTAAAAAGAACAAGTTCGTTATTAGTTTACTTATGGTTCCTTTTGGATTTTGACAAGAAAATACACACAATGTAAGAGCTGTCAAGCCTTTCATTTATGTATGTCCAATTATAGGAGAAAAGATATATTTACACAAGTACTTGATTCCCCTATATCCAAATCCTTTTGCTGCATTTAATGTATCGATATATGACACCAAAAACTAGTTCACATTTAATTTCTTTCATTCTATTTGGATGCAAAAATTAATTCTTTGTAGATTACAATCTGGAGTGCATAAGATATTCATGGGGATGTGTTCAGGAATGGTTGAAAAGACAATGCAGCCCTGGCATTGTGTGTTAAAGCGTCATTCTCTATGCTGAAGTACCCAATCTTTTTCTCTGCATTCCTTGTTTATCAGGGTGAAGCAAAGCTTATTTGGTTGAAAGACCAAAATACCCCTAACGATGTGTGTGAAGGCGGAGAGGCCTATGATGTGCTCAGTTTTCCTTCCTTTCCAATTAATTTATTGAATAGCTGCGCGAGACATACCCTATTTGCCTTCGTCCTTCCTCTGGCGGTAGATCAGCACATTACTGGTGGTACTTCATGTCAGGGTACGCAAAATCTTATTTGATTGGTTATGTCAACTCATTTACCTCTACATCCTTCCATAAGTGACTGATAATCTTTTGCTTTTGTGAGGGCTTTTCACTTATGCCTTCCTATTCTGCAGGCCCATATGAATTTTGTCGAATAACTTTGAGTTGTTAAGTGTTTCCATGAGTTTTCAATTATCGTTGGCCTTCTTCCCGGCGTATCTAGAAAATGATTCATTGCTATAATTAACTCGGTTAGGTACATTTTCCCTTTCGAAATTTTTCTAAATGTATCTGTTGATTTACTTCCAATGCTAGTTGCGGAAATTTGTGGAAAATTAGCAGTTAATTCACATGTTATGGGTGGGGCTCTGGTAATGACATTTGAGTCAAATGGCGTATATTTGCTGACTATTTTTGCTTATTTGAAGTATTAGTTGTGTGCATGTATGGAAATGAAGTATGTTCTCAATTATTGTGATCTTGTTGAGGGATATTTTGTTATGGAAACTTTCATCGTGGAGATTGTCATTAAATTGCTCTTTGAACACCCTTCATGCTGCTAGTCCACACTCTTTGCAGGTTTATATTAAGTCCAGGACACACAAGGTAGTTGCTGCAACATTAGCTGTTTCAGATTAGTGTGTAACTGCTAAAGCTGACCCACAGGTGAAAAGATGAATCACGGTGAGAATATGGAGTCCAATATTGATTATCACATACAAGATGAGGCGGAAAGGCTGCTTAAAGAGATTGAACTGATGACGAAGAATGTTGAGAACTCTAAATTATATGCTGAATTGTGCTTCGATCTCGAACAGAATGAAACAATTCAACAACATCTGTTTCGCCATTTAGGCTCCCATTCATGCATTCAGCTGGTAATCTATTCTTTGGGAAGCATGGAATACAGTTTTCATTCACAGTTTCAGCTTGCCATAGTTCTCCTACTAAAACGAGATTTTTCCAATCTGATTGGCAATATAGAAGTATATGATCCTGCAATGTCTCCCGCTGATATCATAGTTTTCAAGGAACTCGGTTTTGAGGTTCTAACCATTGATGAAAACTGTAAGAGGCAAGTCCAGAAACCAACAATGTTCTACATGCCTTATCCTAATTATAATCTTATCGGCAACCTGCTAGGAGCAAACTGGTCTTCGTCTTGTATCAACCAGATTTTTCTACTGACAAACTCATTTCGCAGTACATTGAACGTTATTCGACAGTGTGATTTTAGTGGAGAAACTGTGCAACGTCTAGAGAGAATTCTCGGGTTCACAACAGAAATTGACATACAAACTAGCTATGACATGATGTATATTAGTTTGTTCTCAGTATTTGCTTGGCATTTCTTTGATGTGGATCCCAACGTTGACATGGAAACTTCACTGCCTGGTACTGGATTTCCTTCTACTTTGATTTAAATTGGATAATCTATTGGTTGGTCTCATAACACGTGCACTGAACAGATTTATCTTTTGTTGGTTCAGTGACTGAAATTACAGAATATAAAAGAGACGTCAAACTGGGACGTTCTTGGTTGGATATGCAAAGGTACTTATATGTGAGACTATATACCTTTCTATATTTTATCGAGTACAGTTCTCTTATTAGTTCTGTTAATTCTGGGAAACTGTGGTTCTGCTAATTAGCATATCAGTCATCAGCCCTTTACTTCCTCTATGTGTGTGATTGTTTGAATTCTTTCCCCTCGTGAATTGTGATAAGATGTGCTTTACACATGAATGATTTACGTGCTAGATGATGATCTAGAATTTGTTGTTTGGAATGTGCAAAGTACTTTGAAATTATTTGCTTACACGAAACTATGGAGTGATAAAGGTGAGTTGAAGGAACCAAAGGAGGGTAAAGCATACTTCATCCTTAAACATTTAACTTTTAACTTTCGTCTTGCAGGTGTCTTGAAGAAAATCTTTTGGAATATATGCAAAGTGATATGACTAGTGAGGAATTTGCGCAAATTCTTGGTGAACATCGTGGGCCTCGTCATTTAAGATGCAACTCAGTTCCTCCTCCTCCAGGTTGGATTAAGCTAAACATCTATGGAATTGGTACAAAGGGTGATCAGCCAGGACGATATAGTGGCGCCTTTCAAGATGAAACTGGAATGTGTTTAGGTAGGTATAGTGGTACCATTCATGTTGACGACAATGTGATTGCTGGACTGGAGGCCTTGAGGCAGGGATTGATCAGATGCACGGAAGGAAAGCCGAATGCAAAAAAGTTGATTGTGGAGTCCGATAATTTTATACTTGTCCAATTTGTTAATCGTCGCCCTGAGCCAAAAGAAATAACCATGTGCAGGTTGAAAGAAATTTTTGGTTTGATGAAGCGTATAACTTGTGCAATTTACCATGTGTATGAAGAAGCCAATGAAGCTGCTAGACTTGGCTCTGATGAGAGATGAACGTGATAATCGTGCATAGATAGCTTTGTTCAAACAGGTTTCAAATTCAATTCGCATTTTATGGAAAAGTGATGTTTTTTGTTTGTCAAAGTCTGGAGAGACTTGAAGAATGGATGTTTAAGTTGTCAGGCTAATCTACATTTTAACTTTTGTTTAATTTTGCTTTGGATGTTTAGGATGATATACCCTGCCTGTTCTAACTTTATTTTTAACATAATGGTTTCTGTGTTCCGAGTGTTAGAACTATATATAATTGGAAATTTGGCATGATCCTAAATCTTGGAAAGATCAGAAGAAAGTATATATTAGCTATATTATCTTCTTTTGGTGGATTATAATTTATACCATGTCCGAAAATTAGAGAAATTCTTTTAATAGTTTCACTATCCATATTGTAAGTTAGAGGGGGAGCCTAGGATCCGTGTTAAGGTTGTCTCCGTGTGACTTATTGGTCATGAGTTCGAGTCATGGAAGCAACCACTAATGTTTGTATTAGGTTAGGCTGTCTACATCACACCCTTTGGGGTGCGGCCATTCTCTGGACCATGCGTGAACGTAGGATGCCTCGTGCACCGGACTGCCTTTTTACTATCCATATTGTGATTTAACTTATCGAATATAGCTTGTCTAGGTTACTTTATTATTGATTAATGTTGTGTGATTTTACTTTATCTGACATAGTGTCTAACAGGATAACATTGTGAACCATAATTGGAAGTACAGGGTGGGCGAATTGTGCCCTGATTAAAATTTAGTCGACTAAGTGCGGATTTTAGTCAGCTAGTTCTGAATAGTCTGCACAGTAAGTTAACAAGATATTCCATAAACAACATAAAAGTGAAGTGCAGTAAAGTAAAATAATATTAAGCAAGTGACCTTTCGCGACTCAAACAGCCGGTACACTTTCCGCCTCAAACGGGCGGGGGCTTTCTATTTGCTTGCAATGCCGGTTGTTCGCCTTTAGTTAGAAGTAGAAGTAGAGGGCGCCGTTTGGCCCACACTTCAGAAAAAGTAAAAAAGTATGGATGAAGTAAAAAAATCTCCCTTGGCCTTTGGAGAGGAGAGGGCAGAGAAGAAAACGTCCTACGCGCAAGTTTTTTTGCTTCCTGCATCCTTACTAGTAAAAAAGGTTGTACTGTTTCGTGCACAAATACGATGCTTACATCCAGTCCCCTTGAAGTGCAAGAATGTTATATTTTGGAGCTCTTGAAATTGAATTGTTTACAACCTTGTGTGGTTTTGTTACACTCACCACTAATGTTTACAGCTGTTGGTTTTCCACTCGATCACCAACAAACGAACCCTTTGATTTTCTAGATCACCTAAGAAACTATGGTTCTTTTTGTACGCGTAAGACTTGAATGACAGAGAATTACTGGTATTTGAAGAATAAGAGAGGGAAATTGAGAGTGAAGCTGTCTGTCTTCTTCTTTTGAAGAGCTAGTATTTATAGCATGTCTTGTGTTAGGCTTTTGTATAAGTCAGAAGATTTTGATGATTGTTCCTCTATCTTCCTACTTGCCTTGTCTATCTTCTCCTTAATTAATTCTGAGCTTTGTGTGTTGGTTCTTTGATTGAAGGCAATAACTTAAATTTGAGAGTTTGTGATTGTGAACTTCTCTTGAATCTCCAATTTTATTTTGTTCTCATAATTAAAATACTTGGGAGGCTAACTTTAATGTTCAACCATCTGAAAAATGTAAAGAACATTAGCTCCATAATTTTCTTTTTCTTTTTGGACTTATAGAAGCAAAAATAAAAGTTTTTTGGTTTCTTTTCTTTGAAATACTGAATCATTTAACACCATAGACGAATGGAGCAAAAAAATTACTTAAGTTTTAACAATGAGTCTTTGAATTTCTTATTAATTATAATTATACATCAATTCCAAACTTATTAGCCCTGTGAAGGGAAAATACATTGGGTTTGAACGAACACATCTTCAATCAAAGGTTTTGAAATTAGAAAATACCATTGTTTCATACACAAGAAAATGTTCCCCTTGGCTTCCAGTCTATCATTACCAGTTTGTTCTGACTTCCCTCTCTTCCTTTGTCGCAGCAAAACACAAATATTGGTTCGTTTCAGTTAGTTTCCAAGATACAATGCAACACATTCTAGCGCTGCTTTCTTTGTTTTCTTTTGCTCTTTTTGGTGTACTGCACTAAGTGCCATAGTGAAAAATGGACTACTTTTTTAAGAGGCCACAATAAAGGGTGGTTTTAGTTCAAGGTTGAGGAAGATGCTGCAGAAACTTAAGATAGTTGGATTCTTGGAGAGCTTTGGCAGGGGTGGGTGGGATGTTTGGGCAAAGTGATGGATGAGAATGACATCAAAGTTATTGTTGGGTAACACCAACATCCAGCCTATGGCAAGGCTGCGCGAGGCATCTGGGGTGGCTCGAATTGGAGTCATAGTCAGAACATGTCGCTTGCTTGGTGGGATTGGTTAAAAAATAAAGTTATATCCTTGTTATCAGCTATAATTTTTGGCATAGTAAGCGCTTCATCCTAACAGTTCTAATTTTTTGGAACCATGAAAGCCCTCAATTTTCATCACCAATTGGTACTTTATGAATGTTTGATAAATGCGTAAAGTGATGCATGTTTTCTTTTTAAAAAAAATTATATAGAAGAGATGATATTCACAAGTTGAATGGTAAATGACACCTCACACTTCTTTGGACATATGACATCTAGAGAACCTTTTTGGCTAAACAAAAAAGAGTTGTGCAAGCAGCAAATGGTTGACATGGCTGCTTGCCGGCACTTACATTCAAATTTAAGGGTAATTTGGACTTTAACCAAGGTTTTACGTGCTTCGATTGCTTGTACGGTACACTAAGCCCGGACATTGCACTATATTGTTGGTAAGGCTTGTTATTCTTTTTGTTCCATTTTATGTAGCACTTTTTTTTTTGCCCATACAAAAATAACGTCTTATCTTATTTGACTACTATTTAAATTATGCTCCAAATTTTATCCGTAATTGCATGATTTGTTTGGATCACTTAATATAAGGATACATTCATTTATTAGGAAAGAGAAAATGAAAAGATATGTGAAACTATCAAAATAACGGGAATGCGAGAGATGAAGGAGTCGTCAACTGGATTGGACCTATCTAACATAGATGTCTCTCAAATTATAGCTTCAAGTCATTTTGCTGCCATTGAAAGTCTAATTGCATAATCCAAACGAAAAAAATCACATCTTCAAACTTCATCACTTCAATAAAGGGATTGAAGTCAAGAGGACTCAAAATGAATTTCTAATGGATCCACAATTACATTAGAGTTTTAAATTTGATACCTAAATTTTTTTTGATACTTTGTACGTAGTAGCTTATGTATCAATAGTCTTTAATTAATTCTCAAATTTCAATTCCGGTCAAATAATTTTAGAAAAAATGGAGCTTGAGAATAAATTTGGATTTCACTGTCTGATACAATAAATTTTTTACACTATTAATATAATTCAAGCTATCATAATATATCACTTATTATTTATTCTAAGTTATTGATTAATTTTATTAACTACAATTATTTGATTACATTTTGAGTGATATGATGTAGAAGTAATTTTTACACGGATTGCTAACATCTTATTTTTTTGGAAGACTTCCAGCGAAATCGCAGTCACTATCCTTCGGGTTGTTGGAAATAAACCTCCTAAAGAAATAATATTCATGATAATAAAAGTGGAATAATAACGTAGCACCGAGATACTGTAATCAATAAGAATAAAAAGAACAACAAGAACACAAATATTTTTACGTGGAAAACCCTTTTGAATAAGGAAAAAAACCACGACCCCGAGAGGAGCAACTAATATCACTATAACAAAAAATTTTACCCTTTGTAGGTCTGAGTAAAATACTTCAAAGACCACTACAACACTCAAAAGAAATAACCCTATTTTGATATTTCTACCTCACTACAATATCGCCCACTCTCTATTTTTCTCACAGACTATTTTCTTATACCCTGTCTGTGAAGCCTCTCTCTTTCTTTCTCTTTGTTGGTGTGTAGAAATGAGAGCCGAAGCTCTCCTTTTATAGTATTGAGTGCCTACTATTTTTGACAATTTGCAGATTTGCAAATCAAGTGAATCCTAATGAATCTGACATTTTCTCTTTCATTTATGGGGATGGACCCCTTTCCTTCTTTTTCTTTCTTTCATTTATGGGGATGGACCCCACAAATCTCCCCCTTCAGACCTGTTCACCTGAAGGAGGTAACACCGGACTTCTAACTTGAGCGCATGCCGACAAGTTCTTTGCACAATTTGAACTTGTCTCTTGGTACCACATTGGTCAACATATCTGCGAGATTCTCACTTGTAGAAATCTTCAAGACTTTTAGAGATTCATTCTCTACCATTTAGCGAATCCAGTGATATCTCACGTCGATGTGTTTGGTCCTTGCATGGTACATGGAGTTCTTGCTAAGGTTTATTGCACTTTGACTGTCACAATAGATGACATACTCCTTCTGATGCAATCCAAGCTCTTGAAGGAACCGTTTCAACCATATCATCTCCTTGCCAGCTTCAGTAGCGACAATATACTCTGCTTCAGTTGTAGAGAGTGCGACACACTTCTGCAACCTCGACTGCCATGATATAGCTCCCCCTGAAAATATAAACAAATATCCAGTAATGGATTTTCTGTTATCAATGTCACCTGCCATATCAGCATTTGTATAGCCTTCAAGATTGGATCGGATCCTCCAAAGCATAAACAATCTCCCGCGGTACCTCTCAGGTACCTGAGTATCAACTTGACTGCTTCCCAATGTTCACTTCCCGAATTTTCAAGAAACCTACTGACAACACCAACTGCGTGAGCAATATCAGGTCTAGTGCATATCATTGAATACATCAAACTTCCGACTGTAGAGGAATAAGGAACTTTGGTCATGCTTTCCTTTTCCTCCATTGTTGTAGGACACATCTTCTTGCTTAACTTCAGATGACCAGCAAGAGGTGTGCTGACTGGCTTAGCATTCTTCATGTTGAAGCGTTCCAGTACACGTTCAATGTACTTCTCCTGAGACAGCCACAACTTTCTGCTTGTTCGCTCTCGAACTATATTCATACCTAGAATTTGTTGTGCTGGGCCCAAATCCTTCATATCAAATGACTTGGACAGATCTCCCTTCAACTTTGCGATCAACTCCTTGTCTTTTCCTACAATTAACACGTCATCCACATACAACAACAAAATAATAAAATTATTGTCAGAAAATCTTTTGAAGTATACACATGGATCAGAATATGTCTTTATGTAAGTTTGACTTTTCATTAATGAGTCAAACTTCTTATACCACTGGCTTGGTGCTTGCTTCAACCCATAAAGACTCTTATTCAATTTGCATACCATGTGTTTCTTTCTAGCTACTTCAAATCCTTCTGGCTGCTCTATATAAATCTCTTCTTCCAAATCTCCATGAAGAAATGCAGTTTTCACATCCAACTGCTCCACTTCAAGATTTAGGCTAGCTGCTAAGCTCAAAATTATTCGAATAGAAGTCATTTTGACAACATGTGAGAAACTTTCGTCAAAATAAATACCTTTCTTCTATTCGAAGCCCTTAACCACCAATCGAGCTTTGTATCTGACTATCTTTCCATTACAATCTTTCTTGAGTTTAAAGACCCACTTACGTTTGAGTGGTCTTTTACCCTTTGGAAGTTCAACCAGCTTGTATGTGCTATTTTTCTTTAGAGATTCCATCTTTTCTTGCTTGACTTTCATCCATTGGTTCTTTTCTGGAAGGGACAACACCTCCTTAAGACTTTCTGGCTCCCCCTCATCATTTATGAGGACATACTCTGTGGAAGGGTACCTGCATGACTCTACCCTTGGCCTTTCTGATCTCCTCCGAGGTTGAGGTTGTTCTTCTTCCTGAGTAGGGTACTCCACTTGCTCGACATCATCATCAAGTTGCCCCCCTGCTCAATAACCTCACTAGGTTGCTCCCCCTGCTCGACAACCTCGTTGGTCGTACTTTCTGCACTTGTGGGATAGTTAGAAGAAGAAGGAATGGTAACAAGGTTAGAGATTATACCATTCTTTGTCTTCTCTGACTGATCATATACAGCTCCAACTTCACTTTCTCGGAAGATTACATCTCTGCTTCTAAAGACTTTCTTCTTTACAAGATCCCACAATTTGTATCCGAACTCTTCATCTCCATATTCGATGAATATGCAGGGAACAAATTTATCATCCAACTTTGTTCTCTGCTCCTTTGGTATATGTGAAAAAGCTCTGCAACCGAACACCTTTAGATGTGAGTAGGACACTTCCTTGTTGGTCCAAACTCTATCTGGGATGTCAAACTCTAATGGAACTGATGGACTCCTATTGATTAAGTAACATGCTGTCTGAACTGCTTCACCCTAGAATGACTTAGGCAGTCTAGCCATTATGAGCATGCTTCTCACATTCTCAACAATGGTACAGTTCATCCTCTCTGCTACACCATTGTGTTGTGGGGTTCTAGGAACTGTCTGATCCCATGGCTCGAACAGTACTCTTTAAATTCCCTTGAAGTGTACTCACCTCCATTGTCACTTCGGAGACGCTTTAGCTTTTGACCTGTCTCCCTTTCCACCAGAGCATGAACTTTCTGGAAAACTTAAAACACCTGATCTTTGGTTTTCAAAATATAAACCCATAATTTTCGTGAAGCATCATCAATAAAAGTAACAAAATATTTGTTACCGCCCATCGATTCAATTTTCATTGGACCACAAATATCAGAATAAACCAAATCAAGTATATTCAATTTTCTTTTAGACGATGTCTGAAATAGACTCTATGCTGCTTACCAAATAAACAATGGTCACAAGGTTTTACCGTTGTACCTTTGGCATAAGAAATGAGTGATTTCATGGAAAGAATCTACAATTCCTTCTCGCTCATATGACCCATTTTTTTGTGCCACAAATTTGCAGAAATCTCATCTTGTGTCGCGTTCAATTCACCTTGGCATATTTCTGCATTTGTCCTATACAACGTGCCATGAGCAACTCCCTTTGCAATCACCAATGGTCCCTTGGTGAGTCTCCACTTTTGATTTGCAAAATAGTTCTCGTATCTATCTCGGTCTAAAGCAATTTCCGAGATCAAGTTCATCCGCAAATCAGGTACATGTCACACGTCCTTTAGAACCAATGTATATCCGACATTTGTCTTGATACAAATGTCACCAATCCCCGCAATCTTTGAGTAACTTGTGTTACTCATTCTGACAGTGCCGAAATCACCTACTACATATCTACAAAAAAGATCTCTTACCGGTGTAACATGGTAAGATGCTGCTGTATCAACCACCCATTCTGACTTTGGACCTGACAAGTGCATGCATTCCTCTTCCTCATTTATAAAGAGGACAACATTATCATAGTTTTGCACCATGGCGGTTGTGTTGTCGTCATTCTTAATCTCTTTTGAAGTGACCTGGTTGATCGCAATTGTAGTAATTTCTGATTCTTGATTTGGATAGGTTCTTAGACTTCCCACGAGGTACGGATCTACCATAGTAGCTCGAACTCCTCTAATAACTCCTGCCTCTACCTTCTGTGATGAGAGCCTGTCCTTGATTTTCAGGCTTCTTTCTCATTTTCTCATTGAGTAGAAGAGCTGATGTGATATCTTTCAACTCAATGGTAGTCTTATCGTGCAGGATGGTTGTTGCCAAATTATCGTACGAAGATGGCAATGAGTTCAATAGCAAGATGGCTTTATCTTCTTCCTCGATTTTCACTCTGAGGTTGGCGAGCTGTGTGATTAGTCCGTTAAACATATTTAAATGTGACAAAAAATTCATACCTTCACCCATGTGTAGGGCGTATAACTTCTTCTTCATGTACATTGTTTTGTCAGTGTTTTGGATATGTATAGGCTTTCCAACCTTGTCCAAATGCCACATGCGGTGTCTTCATCAATGATGTTATTTACCACATCATCTGATAAGTGCAACCTGATTGCACTAGCAGCCCTTTCATCCAAGTCAGCCCAATCATCAGCTTTCATGATATCAGGCTTTTTGGCATCAACATCTAGTTACTTATGTAATCCTTATTGGATGACCATATCCCTCATCCTTCTTTGCCATGTTGAGAAACCGTTATCTCCGTTGAATTTTGCTACCTCGTACTTTACTCCAAACAATTTTTTTCATCGATTATAGTGTTACCGATAGTGAATAGTACTTCTGTGAGCGAGCAGAACCTGTGCTCTGATAGCAATTATTGGGAATAAATCCCCTACAGAAATAATATTCACGGTAATAAAAGCAGAATAATAACGTAGCACCGAGATACGGTAATCAACAAGAATAAAAAGAACAACAAGAACACAAAGAATTTTACGTGAAAAACTATTTTGAATAAGGGAAAAAACCACGACCCCGAGAGGAGCAACTAATATCACTATAGCAAGGAATTTTACATTTTGTAGGTCTGAGTAAAATACTTCAGACACCACTACAACACTCAAAAGAAATAACCCTATTTTGATATTCCCACCTCACTACAATATCGCTCAATTTCTATTTTTCTCACATACTATTTTCTTATACCCTGTCTGTGAAACCTCTCTCTTTCTTTCTCTTTGTTGGTGTGTAGAAATGAGAGCCGAAACTCTCCTTTTATAGTATTGAGTGCCTATTTCTTTTTTATTTATGGGGATGGACCCCTTAATTCTTTTTCTTTCATGGGGATGGACCCCACAGGGTACAAACTGATAACTTGCTTATTATGCAATAACTCGTAAACTATACCGGAGATATAAACCACACTAGGTAAGCCCAATAGTTTCTACGGGACCGCTAACATCTTATTTTTTTTGGAAGACTTCCCGTGAAATCGCAGTCACTATCCTTCGGTGCACATTGATAACTTGTACGCAATAACTCAGCAAAATATATGGGAGATGTAAATCACCCGACACTAGGCAAGCGCGCTCTGACCGAGCGCTAACTCTTATTTTATTAGTGGACTCAGTTGCATTTATTTGGTTCAACTTTAGCGCGCTTTCTCCGCCTCCAACGCCAACACTTTTCATCTCGCGCCCTACTCTGCTCTCTTTCTCCGGCGGAATCGACATGTAAGTGCACTACTTCTTTCTCGCTATAGCTCTCTATTTCCACCGTCCTCACTTTTTTCTTCATACATTTGGGGGTTTTTTCTTTTAAAAAAATTGGCGTTGTGAAAAGTTTTTTGCATTGATTTTGTTTGATATTATGGTCGTCGAAGCTGGCCACGACTACAAGTGATTACTTGAAGGTAGCTCTTCAATCGCGAGGCACCATTTGCTGAGGGCTATACACTTCCAGTGACTGTTGCTGTCAGTATCTCCTCTTTTATTTTTAATATTTCCTTTTTGTTATTTCTGTAATTTTTTGGCTGTAAAACTAAATTATACGTATGTATTTTGTGAGGATTCCGTTGAATTGCATTCGTAATTAGTGATTGCTTTGAATTTGACTAAAGGATCTCGCATTACCACCGCCCTATAATTTTCTGTGTTCTTTTGGTGCCACTTGTCAATGAAGTACGAGCAGAACTATGGGGTAAAAATAATAGGTGATTTCTTCGCATTTGCTTAAATCTTGGTGGATAGAGTTACCTAGTACTTGTGTTAGTGGGGGTATCAGGTACCCGGTTGAGTTACCCGCAAACTAGCCCTGATTCATTAAAAAAAATGTCAATCATTTTAAGTTCAGAAGAGCAATAGTTTTGCTGCAATGTTTTTACCTTTGAATAAAATAAAATTCTAAAAAAATTAGATTGATGTTTTTCCTTTGAGAAAGTTAGATTTATGATTTGGCACTTTAGAGTATCAATTTTCATTAGTGCAAAGGTTCATTTTGAATCTGTACTGGCAGTTGAAGTAGGTGACTGGAACTTTAGTTCAGAATAGCTTATATTCGTACTCAATGATTGCAAATCCTGCGTGATTGGTTTTGAATGGGTTAAAGAAAGTAGGTGACTCGAGCGCCCCCAAAATGAAAGAAGTTTGAGTTCAGAAAAAGTTGGTTTTTTAACTTAATGATTGCAAATCATACAAGATTGGTCTAAATGGGTTAAAGAAAGAGGTTATGTTCATATTCATCTTATCTCTTACTGCCCTCTTTTATCTCAATTGAACCAGCTTATAATAGAGAAGATGTCAACTGAGTTGCTTCTTGAAATATCTTTGTGGCTTCAAACAAGCATCATTTAGTGTGGAGCAAGTACACTTTTAGCCTGCTAGCATATCTGTACTTTTGAGTTCTATACTTGCAGATAATGAGAAATGCATTTTTCTTGCTGAAAAGCTACTTCCGTCTGCTACTTATTTTGTACTTTAAGTTCTACACTTGTTGTAGGTTTATATTAACTCCACAACACAAGAGAGACTTGCTGCATTAGTAGTTGTTTCAATTAGTGTTTAAATTGCTAGAGCCCAATGTTTATCTGAACCTGGGGCGTAAAAGATGAATTGCAGTGAGAATATGGAGTCCAATGTTTATTTTCACATAAAAGATGAGGCAGAAAGGCTGCTTAAAGAGATTGAACTGATAATGAAGAATGTTAAGAACTCTAAATTGTATGCTGGAATGCGCTTCGATCTCGAACGGAGTAAAACTTTTCAACATCTGTTTCGCCTTTTAGGCTCCCATTTACATGTCCAGGTGGTAATCTATGCTTTGGGAAGCATGGAATACAGTTTTCATTCACAGTTTCAGCTTGTCGTGGTTCTCCTACTAAAACGAGATTTTCCCAATTGGATTGGCAATATAGAAGTATATGATCCTTTATTGTCTCCAGCTGATATGATAGTTTTGAAGAAACTGGGATTTGAGGTTTTGACCATTGATGAAAATTGTAGGAGACAAGTTCGGAGACCAACAATGTTCTACATGCCTGTTCCTAATTATTATCTTATCGGCAACCTGCTGTGAGCAAACTGGTCTTCGACTTGTATTAACCAGATTTTTCTACTGACAAACTCATTTCGCCATTCGTTGACCAGTATTTCACCATATAATTTAAATTGAGAAATAGACCATTCGTTGACCAGTATTTCACCATGTAATTTGAATGGAGAAACAGTAAAACGCCTAGTGAGAATTCTCCCCTTCACAACAGAGATTGACATAAAAACTAGCTATGAAGAGATCTATCCTAATGTGTTCTCAAGATTTGCTTGGCATTTCTTTGACGTGGATCCCAGCATTGACATGGAAACTTCACTACCTGGTACTGGATTTCTTTCTATCTTGATTCAAGTTGAAGACGTTATTGGTCGGTCTCATGACACTTGCACTGAACACATTTTTTTATTTATTTTTTATTCAGTGACTAAGATTACAGAATGTAACAGATATGGCGGACAGCGACCTTGGTTGGATAGACAAAGGTACTTAGATGTGAGACACTTCCCATTTATTATTTGTAATTATGGTCAATATTTTGGCTAATGGAGTCCATCTCACATAAGCATAAGCATCTTTGCAAAGTGTAGAGTTTGTTAGCATTATTCTTTGGGACTCAAAAATATTGCATTGTGTGGTGGACATCATTTGCACAAGTTGTATCTCTTCTTTTACACTTAAGAGGCCAAAACTTTTTTGCCTATAAAAGGGAAGGTCATTAGTTCATTTTAGACACACCAATAAGACTTGAGTTTTCATTTCTTGTTTCTTCCTTTCCTCCTTTTATTAAGAGTGTTTTGTATGAGAGTTGAGTGTTGGAAAGCACTTGAGTGAACTCTTTCTTTGGAATGATCTTGTGAGGTTATTCTCTTAGGGTATTTGGGATTAATTAGAGTATTTACTCTAATTTTGTACTCTCTTTTGTACTTTTGTTGGTATAGTAAAATTGCTCCTCTTCGCTTGTGGACGTAGGTCACTTTGACCGAACCATGTTAAATTTGTGTCTTCTTTATATGCTTTAATTGCCGTTATTATCAACTTGCATTGTCTTTGTTATTGTTATTATAACGTTGTTTGGCTAAATTCCGCACTACCCAGGTTCCCGATCCTAACAAATTGGTATCAGAGCCGGATCTAACCGGGTTAGTTTAAATAACCAAAATGACTAACAAAGTCTTATGTTGAGAAATTTGATCGAAGTGCAAACTTCGGAATGTGGCAATTAAAGATGTAAGCTATCCTAATTCAGGGTGGCTTAGATTTGGCGTTGTCAGGAAAGGAGAAGAAGCCAGATAAAATGACATATGAGGACTTTGCCATCATAGACAAAAAGGCAAAAGCATGTATCATTTTAAATCTCTCAAATGAGGTTTTACGTGAAGTTTCTGTAGAAACCACAACCAAAGGTATGTGGGAAAAATTAAAAACCTTATATATGAAGAGGACGGTGGAAAATAAACTTTACCTGAAGCAGAAGCTTTATACAATTCGTATGGGTGAAGGTACCTCTATTCTCTCTCATCTTGACACCTTTGATTACATTCTTATGGATTTGAGTAATATAGATGCTGAAATTAAAGATGCGGATCAAGCCGTGTTACTGCTTTGTTCTCTACCCCCATCTTTTAAGCATATAAGAGATACTATGTTTTATGCAAATGATAATATCTCTTATAGGGATATTAAATCTATCTTAAAATTAAAAGAACAGATAGATGTTGATATTACTGGGGAAGCTAGTGGAACCCAAGCGGAAGTTGGCTTGTTTGTTAGGGGCAAATCCGACTCCATATCTAGATACAATAATTTAGAGTGTCGCTACTGTCATAAGAAAGGTCACATTATCTCTGAATGATATAAACTGAAAAATAAGGAAAAGCATAAAGAAAGAAAAAATGAACACAAAAATACTGACACCGCCAAAGCTAGTGTAGCAATTGATGAGATTGAGGGAACTATATTTTTAGCAACTGAAACTAGTTTCAGATTAGACAATGAGTGGATTTTAGATTCCGATTGTTCACATCATATGTGTCCTAGCAAGGACTTGTTTTCTACATATGATTCAGTTGCAGGTGGAGTTGTCCAACTGGGTAACAACGTTAATTGTAACGTTATTGGCAAAGGTACAATTCGGATCAGAATGCACGATGGTGTGGTGAGAACTCTCACCGATGTTAGATATGTTCCTCAGTTGAAGAAAAATCTCGTCTCTTTGGGCACTTTAGAATCCCTTGGGTGCAAATTCACTAGTGAAGGTGGAGTTCTAAAAATTCTTCAAGGTGCTCTTGTGATTATGAAAGCACATAGATCTGGTTCGTTGTATACTTTATTGGGCTCCACTGTTATAGGCCCTACTACAGTTTCGGTATCAGACAACTTGTCTGATTTTGATGGCATTAAATTTTGACATATGCCCATTGGGGCTTTTGCGGAGAAGGTGGAGCAAACTTACTATATCAGCTAAAATTAGGCCAAGGTGGAGATTTGTAATTATGGCCAATATTTTGGCTAATGGAGTCCATCTCACATAAGTATAAGCATCTTTGCAAAGTGTAGAGTTTGTTAGCATTATTCTTTGGGACCCAAAAATATTGCATTGTGTGGTGGACATCATTTGCACAAGTTGTATCTCTTCTTTTACACCTAAGAGGCCAAAACTTTTTTGCCTATAAAAGGGAAGGCCATTAGTTCATTTTAGACACACCAATAAGACTTGAGTTTTCATTTCTTGTTTCTTCCTTTCCTCCTTTTATTAAGAATGTTTTGTATGAGAGTTGAGTGTTGGAAAGCACTTACAGTGAACTTTTTCTTTGGAATGATCTTGTGAGGTTATTCTCTTAGGGTATTTGGGATTAATTAGAGTTTTTACTCTAATTTTGTACTCTCTTTTGTACTCTTGTTGGTATAGTAAAATTGCTCCTCTCCGCTTGTGGACGTAGGTCACTTTGACCGAACCATGTTAAATTTGTGTCTTCTTTATATGCTTTAATTGCCGTTATTATCAACTTGCATTGTCTTTGTTATTGTTATTATAACGTTGTTTGGCTAAATTCCGCACTACGCAGGTTCCCGATCCTAACATTATTGAATACTGTTCTCGTATGCAGAGGTAGCTAACAGAGGTGTTTCAACTTAGCATATCATTGAAGTCATTGCCTTTTTTTACTCTCTCTGCGTATGATTGTTTCCTTTCTTTCCCTTGTGATAAGATGTGCTTTACACATGCGAGTGATTTAAATTCTAGTTGGAGAATCTAGATTTTGTTGGTTGGATTATGCAATGTACTTTAAAATTATTTGCTTACATGAAATTATATAGTGATAAATGTGAGTTGAAGGAGGAACCAAAGGTGGGTAAAGTCTACATCCCTAAAGATGTAACTTTTAACTTCCGTATTGCAGGTATCTTGAAGAGGAATTTTTGGAAGATATGCGTAGTGATATGACTAGTGAGGGATTTGCGCAAATTCTTGGTGAACATCGTGGGCCTTGTCGTTTAAGATGCAACTCGGTTCCTCCTCCTCTAGGTTGGATTAAGCTAAACATCTATGGGATCGGTACAGAAGGTGATCAGCCATGACGATATAGTGGTGTCTTTCAAGACGAAACTGGAATGTGTTTGGGTAGTTATAGTGGTACCATCATGTTGAAGACAATGTGATTGCTGGACTGGAGGCCTTGAGGCATGGGTTAGTCAGATGTGTGGAAGGAAAGCCGAATGCACAAAGGTTGATTGTGGAGTCAGATAATGTTATACTTGTCCAATATGTTAATGGTCACCCTGAGCCAAATGAAATAACCACGCATAGGTTGAAAGAAATTTTCGACTTGCTAGAGCGTTTAACTTGTGCAATTTACCATGTGTATGAAGAAGCCAATGAAGCTGCTAGAGACTTGGCTCTGAAAGATGAACGTTACAATTGTGCATAGATAGCTTTGTTTTCGGCTCAAGGGGTAGGGTGAAGCTTTCCAGGTTCAGTTAGGTTTCACATGTAATTTGCATTTTATGGCAAGTGATGTTGCAGCAGACTGATGCAAACACGGTTCCTGAGAGTACACATCACAGAGCACACTTCTGCGTCTGTCCGACTTCTCATACAAGTTTTTTTTTTGTTTGTCAAGTGATGACAAATGCAGCATTTGAAAAAGCAAAAAAGAGAGGAAAACAAATGCATTCCGGAGACAAAGGCAAGCCTTATATGTTATCTAATTTGTGCAAAGCGAAGCAAATTTCTTGATCTATGTTAATGCTCACTGATTGTATTTAGTCATCTTTGTCTATAAATTTGGTGATATTATACTATTTGAACTAAAGTTTTCAGCCCAAGAATGAAGAATATGTACTATTTTTTTCATGAGACAAGAGCGAGATATGAGATGTTGAAGAATCAAATAAACTATAGGAGCAAATTAAGGTCAATATAGTTCCTGCAACAACATGGGGATCATAATTAAAGTTGGGAGATTAAGGATAGGAACAGAACTTCAAAAATGGATGATAAGTCAATTGGTCTTCCTCGGGATCAAGGAAGCTGTTGGTCTGGTACATTATACATACCTGTAGTTAGTTCTACAATCTTCTTTTTCAATTATATATGGTGACTACATGTAAATTTTTGCCAGAGGTATCAAAGACTTTAACAATGAAGCAGCTGATGATGAATGTAAGACATTCAAGCAAACTGTCCTTGAATTTAGTCGTAGAATCATCTTTGTACCTCCTTTCATATCAGTTTTGCAATTCTGTTTAATTTTTATGTTTCATTGATGCACTGCACTCGGTCAGTCAGAAGAGTTGTGCCGCAATAAGTTGCTATTCTTGGGCATTATTTACCTCTGATCATGTTATGAGCTTGAATCAATGGCTAATATTTGATCTGTAGGTGAACTTTCAATTCAATAATAATGTTTATTTCCCAACGGGTGAACCACATTGAACTCCAGCACTGTATCACTTGTAAAAAGTTGTGCTCAAATTTGTTTTAGGTAGGAGTTTTTGTTATATTTTCTTTCGTATTAAAGAGTGATTAAATGTTAATTAATTTTGATAATGTAGCTAGTTTCTTATTAGCTGTGTAAAAAGTGCCTATTTGCCAATTTCTCCCACCTATATCTGGAACAGAGTTTTAGGCCTATTAATTGGCTAGACTCCGCTTTTGACTATGGAAAGGAAAATGTGGTATTGATGGTAGGCTATAATCTCGTATTTTAGTTACCTATTGCACTCCAATTTATTACACTTTAATTGAGTTTGAGCTTTAATCGCTAGTGTTTTGCACTAATTGTGTGTTTTATGCCTTGTAGGAGTGATTCCTAGCTATGTAGATGTTTTGGAATGAATTCAAGCTATTGTGGAGCTTTGAAGTCTGAGTAAAAACCCAAGGATTAAGTTGGGATTGTGTTTGGGGATCAACGGACAATAGTGCACTTAACGAGAGAAACGAAGAAATGAGCAGGACGCCACCCAGGTGCGCGAGCGCGCACTGGGCATGCAAGTCAGGCAGAAAACTGTCCAAAGTGCGCGGCCATATGCGCGAGCACACTCCTAGGTGCGCTACCGCGCACGTCCAATCCCAGAATTGTCCTATTTCGCGTAGAAAAAGGTGTGTTCGTTTGGGTCCAACCCTAATTGGTATATATACATGGAAAAATAGTATTTTATGGACTTTTGACACAACTAAGACCTAAGGAGGCTAAGGAGGAGTTGGAGAAGCAAAAGCACAAGGAGTTCATCATTCAATCCTCACTCAAGACACGAGTTTGGATTGTTTTATGTTTTCCTTTACTTTAAACATATTTGTGATGAATTACTCCATATCTATGGAGTAGTTCTCTTTAGGGTTTGATGGATTTGGTGTATTGATATTTGTTTATGAATTATAACTCTAGTTTCTATGTATTGAATCGTTTTGGATGATTTAATTGTTGCATCTATATTCACATGTTCATGTAATCGAGAGATACATAACTTGTGATATCGTTGCATTATTTTGTTGGTTGAGTTCATTAATTCTTTTTAGTAATCGAAATAGGCTAGTTGAATTATTATTTAACTCTATTTAGGAGGATAATCGAGAATTGTTCTCCTAAAGACCAATCTGTTACGAATTCTTGCATATATTCACTGAGCTTAATTTGGTTCATATTGCGAGGTTGAGACTTAATCGAGAGAGGAGTTTCTACTAAACGTTTGATCTAATAATTGAATGAATTCGAAAGACTCACTTGAACATTAGAAGTGAATTAACTAGAGTTACATCCCAGACATTTATCTTGCACCTATCCAATCAATCCCTATTTTCTCCCATTAATATCTTCTTTACTTGCTTTTGTTCGAGTGTCATTCGTTAATAAGTTACTCTTAGTTAATTTTAGTTTTAATCACATAAATCTCAACTATTGATCATCTTGGATAGCAATCAAGTTATAAACTACGAAAATACTGTTTAACTCCAATCCATGTGGATACGATATTATATTATACTATATTCGACTAGCGAGCATATTTAAGTGTGTGTTTGCGTTCGTCAAATTTTGGCGTCGTTGCCGGGGATTGGCAATCAATAGTGTTTGAAATAGTTTGTAGTGCTAATTTAGGAATTTTTCTTCTTATTTTATTTTATTTCTTTTTTCTTTTTACGTTGGTGCTTTTTAGCTGTGCGCAGGCTACATGTTAGATTGGTTCATGACTCGATCCTCTGGGAAGGAACTGCTACCATACGAACTAGAAATCGAGAAACAAATGCGACAGTTGTGGAACGAAATAAATCTCCCCGAGAATACTGAGAAGGTTGGGCAATCCTCAACCAAAATAATTATGGCGGAAGATGATGATAATGTTGATTTGTATGCAAGAGAGGCAGCCCATCAAAGAGAAAAAGCTACAAGTGATGCTGAGGAAACAACTCTTCGAAATGCACAACTTGTCTATGAGGAGGAGAGGGCTCGGAGAATTGTTCAGAATCAACTCTGGGTGCAGACCAATTCAGAAATATAGCTCCTGGTGCTAGAAGACCACTTGGAGATTATGCTAGACCTGTCTACAACCAAGGCTTATCAAGTGTGAGACCACCTCCAGTTGCAACTAACAATTTTGAGTTAAAGCAGGAGTTGCTTCAAACTCTGCAAAACAGCCGTGTCTTCAGAGGAAAGATGAACGAGGATCCAAACAACCATCTAATGGACTTCTAGGAGATTATGAACACCTTTCAATACAATGGTCTGTCACAAGATGCAGTTTATTTAAGGGCATTCCCCTTCACACTCAAAGATGATGCAAAGCACTGGCTTCGAAGCTTGCCTAATGGGTCGATAGAACATGGGATGAGATGACCAAAAATATTTTTGATAAATATTTCTTATCAGCTAAGACGGGCAAGTTTAGAAGAGAAATCCATAACTTTTGCCAGAACGAGATTGAAACTGTGTTTGAAGCTTGGGAGAGGTTTAAGGAGATAGTGAGAAAGTGTCAACATAGCGGAATTGAACTCTGGATGCAATTACAGGATTTTTTGGGATGGATTGACACCAGCCTCACGTAGAACATTGAGTAATGCAGCCGGAGACCTGTTGACGAAGAAGACTCCAGAGAAGATAGTCACAATTCTAGATGAGTTATCTGAAAATGCAAATCAGTGGCCTTTTGAGATTGCTGAAAGAAAAAGATCAACTGGTGTTCACCAAATTGATGCTAACACATCGGCGCAGGTACAACTTGATGTCATGGCCAAGGAAGTAAGGAAGATGACCTTAGCTTCAATACATAATGAGCCCCACACAGCTTGTGATATATGTGGAATATGACACCCTACTCATGAGTGTCAAGCCTCAATTGAGGAAGTTAATGCTGTTAGGAATTATAACTGTAATGCAATGGGTCAGAAGCACCCTGGTTTTTCATGGAGTTCACCTGAGGGTACTGCAAATGCATGGCAACAAAACAACCCCAGATTTCAGGGACAAGGAGCTAAGGGTTTTGTGAATCAGCCTAGGCCGCAGTTCCAGCCTCAACATTCCACCCAGCCTGGGCTAGAAGATCTAATGAAGTCTTTTATTGTCAAGACAGATGAGAGATTAGATACTCATGGTTCAGCTATCAAAGAACTTGGCACTGATTTGCGGAACTTGGAGAAGCAAGTGGGACAAATTGCAACTGTATTGTCGGAGAGAATCCCATGTACTCTGCCAGCTGATACTGAAAGAAATCCCAAGGAAATAGTGAATGCTTTGACCTTGAGAAGCGGGCAAGTGTTGAAAGTTCCCACTCCAGTCCAAAAAGAGGCGGTATCAGAAAAAGAAAGTGGGGGAGCAACTGAAAGATGAAGTTGATAAGAAGAAGAAAGGCAGGAAGGGAGCTGAGAAAAAGAAGAAGGAGGAAACTTCAAGAAAGGAGGACCATGAAGAGAGCAAGCACATGCCTGCTCTACCTTTTCCCCAAAATTTGTATAGAGGAAAGCTGGACAAGCAATTTGAGAGATTTTTAGATATGTTGAGACAGGTTAATGTAAATTTTCCATTCACAGAAGTTCTCTCACAAATGCTAGCTTATGCCAAGTTCTTGAAGGAGATCCTCACAAAGAAGAGGAAGATAGAAGAGACCTCAATGGTCAAGCTCACAGAGCAGTGCAGCGCAATCTTGCAAAACAAACTTCCACAAATGTGTGGAGATCCAGGGAGTTTCACTATACCTTGCTCGTTAGGCACTCTTAATTTTGATAAGCCATTATGTGATTCAGATGCCTCAATTAATTTACTGCCTTTGTCTATTTACAGGAAGCTGGAGAATGAGATTGGAGGGATAAGGTCTGCACCAATATCTTTGCAGCTGGCAGACCAAACAACTATCATACCTTAGGGGATAATAGAAGATGTCTTAGTTCGGGTAGATAAGTTTGTATTTTCTGTAGACTTTATAGTAGTGAAGATGGAGGAGAATAAGGAGGTCCCCCTCATCCTAGGAAGACTATTCTTAGCGACGGGTAGAGAAATATTAGACATACATGATAGAAAACTCATGCTTAGAGTGGGTGAGAAGATGACGACGTTCGAGATGAATGTAGAGACGGGGGTGAAAAAGGAGAAGCCAGCTGTAAGTGAAGAGTTCAAAAGAGAAGGTTGCAGTTAGTGAACAAGATAAGTGTGGGGGGTATCCCAAGAAGGTTGAGAAGAAACTGTCTGCATGGATGTGCGCACTAGTTCGGGCGAGAAGAATGGAGCTCGACTTTGATTCAGACCCCGACTAGAGATTCAGGGAAGTTTCCTCTACCTTATGCTTTTTAATTGTGTGTCATGGGGACATGACACAACTTAAAGTGTGGGATAGGGATATTTGTATGTTGTATGTATATTAGTTTTAGTTTGTTTTGCTTTTTAATAGTTAGAAGAAAAAATTTTGAGAAAAAAAAATTAAAAAAAAATTCAATTTTTTCCGACGATGGATGTCATTCGACAGGTTTCTTGAGGGAGTTAAGTTGAAGGAAAAAGACCAAAATGATTTTCTATTGGTAGGTAGTGTATTAAACCCCCTTGGTTTTTCTTTGTGCCGTAGTTCTTTTCCAAGGGTTTTGTTTGAATCGGGTGTAGTTAGTTTTTATTTTTGTTAGGAGTAGGAAGCCTTGTGTTGTGAGCTGAATTGAAGGTAATATCACTTGACTTGGTTATGCCTTAAGAATAGTGAGCGCTTAGTTATGACGCTTAGGCTCAGTTTTTGACTCTTGTGTAAGTACCTTAAACTGTATCATCTTAACTTTGC